CCATGATATTTTCAATAACCTCATATGCATGCAAAAGCTGGACAGTGAATAAGGAAGACTGCAGAAGAATTGATGCCTTTGAGTTATGATGTCAGAGAAGAATATTGAAAGTGCCATGGGCTGCCAAAAGAAATGATAGATCCATTTTGGAAGAAGTGCAGCCAGAGTGCTCCTTAGAGGCCAAGATGACCAAACCTCATCTCTCATACTTTGGACATATTGTCAGGAGGGAACTGTCTCTGGAGAAAGATATCATGTTTGGTAAGATGGAAGGTCAGAGGAAAAGAGGAAGACCCCCAATGAGATGGACTGGCCAAGTGGCAGCATCGATGGTCTCAAGTGTGGTAACAATAGTGAGGTTGGCCCAGGATTGGGCAGTGTTTCATTCTGCTGTGCATAAGGTCGCTATGGGTCGGTACCGACTCGGTGGCACCAAACAACAACATAGCTATATGTATATAAATATATAAAACCTTTCTAGCCTATTACTGACTGGGAGTGTAGTGGCTTCATATGATAGGCACTGGACTGCAAACCACAAGGTTGGTGGTTCAAACCCATCAGTTGCTTCTCAGGAGAAAGATGAGGCTTCCTGTTCCTGCGAAGATTTAAAGCCTCAGAAATCCTACACAGGGTTGTGATGAGTCGAAACTGACTTGATGGCACTTAACTACAACAACATCCTATTACTACCGAGTTAATATATATAGATAGCTCCTCTGTGGTGCTGTAGATCAGCAATGAACTGTTAACCGCAAGGTCAGCAGTTCAAACCCACCAGCCGCTCCTTGGAAACCCTATATAGGTTTGCTAAGAGTTGGAGCTGACTTGACGGTACTTAACAACAACACCTCATAAGAATGGCAGATCCAAAGGGCAGGGCTTTTGTCTGTCTTGACTACTGTATGCTGAAACAAGAACACTGAAAGAAGAATATTGGGAAAATAGATAACAATAGGAATATGTTATATATCTCTATCTATCTATCTATACAGTTTGTTGTTGGTTCCCATTCTCCCTGTCCCTTGGTAGAGAATGCCTGCCTCAAGAGAAGGCCATGTAGCAGAAACAAGCAGAGGAGGGTGATGGGTAGTGGGGATAAGAGCTCCGAGGAGGTGTTTGAGCCCCCGGAATCAGTGATCTGAAATCAGTTCTCCTCTTGCATTTCTCAATGCCAGGAGAAACTCCTCTTTTTTGTTGCCATGATCGTTGTTGTTAAGTGCTATTGAATCGTTTCCGACCAATAGCAATCCTGTATAAGGTTCCCAAGGAGTGACTGGTGAGTTTGAAACATGGACCTTGCAGTTCAAACAAACCTTGTGGTGGAGTGTTTATTCTACAATGCCATACATGACTAATATATTCATGCACTGGCTCCTTTGTCCTCAGTGAGTGTCTGAGCAAGTCATGTGTAAGGAACTACCACCGCTCCCCCTTCCCCCTAGCACACTGAGGGCTGGGAGGGTCACAAGATAGGGACCAACCTCTTCAAGCACAGCCTCTGGGCTGTAGTGGCTCGAGGGTTCTGTGTTGGTAGGTCTGTGCCCGGGAGGTTGTCAGAGGTCCCTAGAACTTCCTTCTTCGAAGTTCTGCTCCTGTGAAAGGTTGGGTTTTCTGAGCCTGGCAGCTGACAAGTCCTTTTCTCCTTGGTAGTGGGTGGTAGTTTGCATTTGACACTTGATAACCTTGGTGGCACGGGCCTTTCTTCCCTGCCTCTCTCTTCTCCTTTGCAGTGCCACCTTGAGTACTCAGTAGATACTTGGTGTCAGTGTGTTGCTTCCGGTGCTCAACTGCAGACAAGGGATCTTAGTGCAGTCAAGAGGCTGGGAAGATGTAAGGAGAGAGGGGTTCCTATATCCTGTTTCTTGCTCTGGGTCACTGGGTAAGAAACAGGGACCTTGAGGTCAGCCCAGGAGGCAGCAGCATGGGGAATGGAGGGCCTGCCTCAGCAGCCTCACTCCCTGGCACCCACCTGGAGTCCAGGACCTTCCTGAGTGTCAGGACTTATGGGCAGTACTCCTCTTCTGTAAGGATGACTAAACTGGTCAAAGAAAAGGAGTGCCTGCCCTCTGCCCTGCTCTGTCCATCCAGAACTACCCTGGTTGTTCTGTAGGACTCCAAGCAGAGAATGGCTGTGGCTGCAGGTTCTGGGACTCCATCTTGGCCTCTGAGGCATTGGTCCAGCCTCCCCTAAGGTTGTATCATTCTACCCTGTTTACATCATGTGAAGGTGTGATGCCAGCAGGAGGTTCTGCTACTGAACACAGAAACCATGACACTACCAGAGCTCCTTAGAGGAAATAAGGAGGCAGCGCATTAGAAGAGCCAACATCTCTGTTCCCAGGAATGTGTCAAGTCTGTCTGAGCACAGTCCCTACCTCCCCACCGTGGCTAAAATTGCTCTCTGGGTTAGAAAGCTCTGTCAAAGTAGGGTTTATATTTTGGCATTAAAGAGACTTCCATTCAAAGCCCATCCTATTGCTTACTGGTGGTATGCTCTTGACCTTTCAGAACCGGTTACGTGGGGGCAGTCTGTTGCAAGGGCCCTATGTCTATAATGTGTCACCCAAAATTAGAGTGTCATCACTATTCTGGCACCAAGTTTGTGAAAGCCTGCAAGAAAATAAAAATAAACGAATACCATGCTGGCTAGTGGGTACAATCTGTTTACTAAGACACAATCCTGGAACTGGGATCTGACTAAGACCTTAGAAACACTCCACAGACATGAGGCTGGGAGCTTCTTGGGACATCTGGTCAACCCCACTTGTTGGGAGTGAAGGATGGGTAGAGATCTGGAGAGCACTCCCAAGTGACAAATCCTAAGGGAAGTTAGAAAATTATGAGGAAAGCACTCCAAATTCCAGGGCATTGGAGGTCTAGGGTCTGGAACCGCAGTCCTGCTTGTCTGAGTCTGAATGTGAAGTGCAGCTTAGATGTTTGCATGACTCAGCATTAAATTAAAGCTTGATGTTAAGAGTGCAAGAAAGGAATTGCAATTACTAGAGCAACAGGGGACTCCAAGATTACCAAGATCTGTTTCTTGGGGGCTAGCCTAAGGATAAAAATTTTAAAAAGCTTCTCCACATTAGCCTATTTGTTAGGCTGTCATGAAGAGGAGGTTGTCTTATCTTCTAATGCCTGGTGTAGGACTGTGTGATGGCAGCTGTGGTTGTAACCTTATGTCTTGCATGGTTGCATGGAGAAGGCTATGTACTGTGGGTTGTGTAGCGTGAAACTTGCTGTAGCTTATGGCCCAGGGCATCCTTTTGGTGTTGAATCACCACAGGGCTGTGTCCAGGTGTTGAGTGGGCCTGAGGAAGGCACAGGGTGTCTTTACTTGTGGGGAAGCGAGTTGGGGAAGGATTGAGGGAAGGATTCCTTCCTTGTCTGGGGAATCCCAGCTTGGGAGCTTTCAGGGCTGTGCAGGCTCCTTTCCCAGAAGGGCAGCTCCTCAGATCAGCCTGTAGGGACCACCCAACTTGAGTAGACCTGGGCTCTGGGAAAATGCCTCAGGGGCCTGATGCTCCCTCCCAGCTGCCCCAAAGCTATTGGCAAATTCCTGATGACTCAAAGAGAACTGAACTCTAAGACAGCTTTCTCCTGGAGCAATTTTCTGAGGTCCTGGCATATGTATATACTTCCCACACTAAGGATCCTAGTTTTTGCTTAAATCCATGGAGGTGGGCCAGGCAAAAACCATTTGGGAATGTTTCTGTTACTCCAAGAAAGACAATGGAGAAGCAAGGGGACCAGACAGGCTCTGCCTTCCTAGGTTATTTGGTGAGACCCTATAGACCACCAGGGAAGAGTATCTCTGCCCAGAGGGTTGCTGTCTGCCCTCCTGAAAATAGACTCAAGCCCTCGCTCTACCTCTTCCCTATACTCTTCATTAGCAGGAAGATCACCACTAGAGGCAATAGTGAGGACCCTCACAACACCCACACTAAGTGGGTTCCAGAACTGGCGGCATCACCGTTTATGAGTGACCTTAGGTAAATTGCTCAGCCCTGGTTGTTTCATCTGCACTAATAATATTTATCCTATGCTTATTTTTGAGATGTAGAGAGATAATGTGGGCACTGGTGTGGTGCTGTAGGATAAGCACTAGACTAAAAACAGTAAGGTTGACAGTTCAAACCCACCTGCCCCCTTGGAAACCCTATATAGGATCACAATGAGTTGGAACTGACTCGACAGACAACACTTACCAACACCACCACCACCAACATAGCAATGTTGCATAGGGCTTCCGGGACTGTAAATCTAAAGGAGCAGAAAGCCTCATCTTTCTCCCAAGGAGCCACTGGTAGGTTTCAAGTGCACACCTTGTGGCTAGCAGTCCAGTGCTTGTCCTACAGTGCCACCAGAGCTCCTTAGTGTAGGAGAAAGTGCTCTGGAAATTTGATGCAGCACTACACAGATGTTGTTAGCTGCTGTCGAATGATTCCAACTCACGGAGAACCTTGTGGTAAATAGTACAATGTTTAACTATTTTCACCACTCAGGGCTTCATACACAAGTATAATGTATGATTATTACTTAGCTTAAAACTCTCTGAGTTCCTATATGCTGCTCACAATCACCCCCTGGGCTCTTAATGTTCTTCCTTTTAGGAGGACATACACCAATGTTTCTTAATCTTTATTGTACATGTGAATCGTCTGGGACCTTGTTAACTTGCAGATTCTGATTCAGGAGGTCTGGGCTGCCCACCACTCACTCTGCATTTCTAACCCCCCCAGGTGACTTACATACTACTGGTCTGGGAACCACACTCTGACGTGAACTACCTACCCCATTCCAGGAAAGGAGAATGGAATATTTCTAAAATGGATTGAGAGAGGCAACTTAGAAAATACATCGTAAGTATGGGTTTTATGAGTTTATTAAAAGCTTACAGCCAAACATGGCCACCTGTTCACAAAAGATGCATTTTGGTCTTTAGAGAAACAGGGAGAGGAAGGGAGGCAGAAGAGAGCGGGTAAGAGAAAGAGAGCAGAGAATCCAAGAAGCCCGGGGCCGGTGGACAGGTCACTTCCTGGACTTCTCTGTGGAACAGCCCCCATTGGTCTTACTAAGAGAGTCTGTGCTGCCCATTCTTGAGCCCACACTGTTGAGGATTTTGTCTATTTCTCCTGGGATGTTTTGTTTCTCCTCATTCTCAGTCTCCCGGTGGTAGAAGTAGTTGAAGTTGGAGACAATGACAGGCACAGGAAGGGCAATAGTGAGGACCCCCGCAATGGCACACAGAGTGCCCACAATCTTCCCCCCTGGAGTGGTTGGACACATGTCACCATAGCCCACAGTTGTCATGGTGACCACTGCCCACCAGAAGCCATCAGGAATGCTAGAGAAGTGGGACTCTGGCTCGTCCACCTCAGCAAAGTAGACTGCGCTGGAGAAGAGGATGACGCCGATGAAAAGGAAGAAGATGAGCAGCCCCAGCTCCTGCATAGAAGCCTTCAGTGTCTGCCCTAAGATCTGCAGCCCCTTGGAGTGGCGAGAGAGCTTGAAGATGCGGAAGACCCTCACCAGTCGGATGATCCTCAGGATGGCCAGGGACATGTTCTGCTGGGCAGTTGGCTCTGTCTCCTGGACTAGTTCTGTGATGAGAGTTGCAAAGTAGGGGATGATAGAGATGATGTCGATGATATTCATGATGTTCTTGAAGAAATCTGTCTTGCTGGGACAGACCATGAACCGTAGCACTAACTCGAAGGTGAACCACACAATGCAAGTGGACTCCACCATGAAGAAAGGGTCGGTGAACATGGTGTGGGGGAGGACTATCTTGCTCGTGTTGAGGTTGGGATCTCTGACCACCTTCAGCTCCCTGTCCTCCCGGAACTCTGGCAGTGTTTCTAGGCAGAAGATGGTGATGGAGATGACCACAACTAGTACCGAGACCACGGCCACACCACGGGCAGCACTGGAGCTCTCGGGATATTCAAAGAGGAGCCAGAACTGCCGATGGAAGTCGTTGGTGGGGAGAGGTGTTTCTGGGTCTTTGATGAAGCCTTCATCCTCCCGGAACTGGTCCATGGCCTCACTACCCAGCTCATAGAAAGTTATCTCATCAGCAAAGACATCAATGGGGACGTTGGCTGGGCGCCGGATTTTCCCACCAGATTGGTAATAATATAAGATTCCATCAAAACTGGGTCGGTTCCGGTCAAAGAAATACTCATTTCTCATGGAGTCAAAGAACTGCATCCTTTTTTCCCGATCTCCCAGAAGAGTCTCTGGGAACTGACTGAGGGTTTTGAGCTGGGTCTCGAACCTCAGTCCAGCAATGTTGATGATCACCCGCTGTTTTCCTTCATTAAGGATCACTGGTTCGGGTCCTGGGGGATCGAGGTAGTCTTCGGGAAGCTTGGAGAAGGTGGTCTCATGGTTAGTACTGTCACTGATGAGAATCTTCCAGCTGGAGAAGGGGCTGCTTCCAGGCCGGCCTTTTGGGTTAGTTGGATCGAAATCTGTGGAATAACCTGGCTCTTCTTGGATTTCATCTGAGTTATCAAAATTGACCAGAGCCACCTCCATTTCTTTCCAGCCACACACATCCATCCTAGGGGAGTCAGGAAGACCCTCAGCCTTCCCTGCCTGCTGTAAGCTGTGGAGAAGAAGTTCATTTTACATAGAAGCAGATGACTCTCAGTCACTGGAGGAAGGTATATGGGTGGGTTGATAAATAACCTGTTTTTACCTTAAGAAGGAACCTCATGGTTGTTTTGGCAACATTCTTTCCTTGAAATCAGTTTGCATCCCCTGAGTTTGAACATGCTAATAGCTAGCTTGAGTGACAGGGGCTGGAGACTGTCCCCAAGAAGGGATGGTCTCTGTACACCATGGTAGAGAGAGGACAAAATTAAAGAGGACATGAAGGTTTCTAAATAATGACAATATGTAAACTTATTATTTGTTAGAAGTTCCTTAGTTTATGGAACATTTTTCTATGCCCAGTCTCATCTTTAACTCCTATTTTTCTTTCATACTCGACACTCAAACTTTCACACCTCATTCTGGTTCTATTTTTAAAATGTATCTAGAATTCAGCTTTTTCTTGTCACTTCTACCACTACGTCTTGGACCATGGGGCGTGGTGAGGGGCAGAAACCCAGTTGGGATTCTGTTGAGAAAGAAGAACAAAAGGATGGAGGGTGGGTAATCAACATTTTCTCAACAAGTTCATTACTAAGGCTTTCTGTGCCTTAGACCCTTCATCTGTAGTAACTCCTAAGGTTACTTTTTAGAGTATATTATGTGAAATAAAAATAGAGGACTGAACCTGTTGTTGTTGAATCAATTCTGACTCATAGCAACTCCAGAGTAGAACTGCTCCATAGGCTTTTCTTGGTTGTAATCTTTCTGAAAGAAGATCACCAGGTCTTTCTTCCTCTGGCTAGCACTGCTGAGTACAGAAGTAGAAAGCCTCAGCTTTCTCCCTCAGAGTATCTGATGGATTCTGGTGGATTTAAAACTGCTGACCTTTCAGTTAGCAGCCCAACTCATAACCCACTATGTCACCATATGTAAAATGCCTGATGGTAAGATCAATATGTAATACTTATTAAGAGACCTTAATAGTGTTGTGCGGTAAGCATTGGGCTGCTAACCACAAAATTGGTGGCTCAAACCTACCAGCTGCTCTGTGGGAGGAAGATGAGCCTGTCTGCTCCTGTACAGATTTACAGTCCAGAAAACACTAAATAGAGTCACTATGAATAGGAAACAACTTAGTGAGGATTTATGTTTTATTGTTGTTTTAAGGAGTCCTGGTGGCACAGTGGTTAATCTCCTGATCGTTAACCAAAGGGTCAGTGGTTTGAATCTCCTATGCACCCTGAGGGAGAAAGACACTCTGTTTCCATAAAAATTGTTTTTGTTGTTAAGTGCTGTTGAGGTGGTTCTGACCCATAGTGACCCTGTATAGAGTTTCCAAGGAGTGAGTGCTGAACTTGAACCATCAGCTTTTTGGTTCAAACCAACATTGATGTCTGGCACCTTAACCCACAGTGCCACACCAGGACTCCATGAAGATTTGTTGTTGTTATGTGCCATGGAGTTGGTTCCAACTCATAGCAACCCTGTGCAGGGTTTCCAAGGCTGTAAATCTTTACGGGAGCAGAAAGCCTCATCTTTCTCCCACAGAACAGCTGGTAGTTTCAAACTGCTGACCTTGCGGTTTGCAGCCCAATTTGTAACCAGTATGCTACCATGAAGATTACAGCCTTGGAACCCTCACAGGACAATCCTACTCTGTCTTTTAGGGTCAGTGTGAGTTTGGTGTTAGCTGCTAACTGAAAGGTTAAAGGTTTGAATCTACCCATGAGTTGATATGGACTCAATGGCAACTGGTTCCCCACACGACAGAAGCTTTCGAAGCCAAAAACCATTGGTATTATTTTGTTCTAAGTCCAAGGTGTTTATGGGAGTGATTTTAGTTTTAAAAATCCTATTAGGTAGGTAGGAAGAAGTGCATATGTGTGTGTGCTGGGTTTGGGGTTAAGGAGAGCATGCCCATCAGGCCTGGATATCCACAAACATAGGCCAAGATTCCTTCTTCAGCTTAGAGACACCAGAGTCAGGCAGACATGGGACTAGGACCCCAGCCTTATGCCCACTTGTGACTTCAGACTAGTACTTTCTCCTTTGGGGTTCAGGTCCTGGTGGGGGCGGTGTATTCCCTGCTTATCACCATCTTGCTGTGAATTCCTGTGCCACATCTTCCACTCTGAGGGGAAGAAGTATCATCAGGAGGTTCTAGGAAAGGGGTTTGGAAACCACTTTCTTCTTTTTCTATTATGGTGAATATTTATGTAACACATTGTTTGCCTTTTCAACATTCTTCACAAGGACAATTCAGTGACATTAGTTACATCATGTTGTTCAATCACTACCATTCTCAGTTTCCAAATTTTTGGGATCCACTTCTGTGCGGCTACCATGGGTCCTTACTAGAAGTCTTCTCTTGAGACTAGGAGCAGAAGGCATGTGGGAATTAGGGAAATCTTTGCCCTAAGAATGAACTTCCTCTCCTGGGAGTAGGGCTACCTTCTCTTGGCCTCTCCTCTCCTCCTCTTTGTTTCTTCTACCTCCAGCTCAAAATGGCAGATAGGAGGGTGGCTGGTGAGGGCTTGGGTGATGTAGGAGGTGTCTACAGGAGCATGCTGTGTGGGTTGCTCCACACTCCCCATTTAGATGCATCACTGTTGATCGTTTTAGATGCGGGGAGAAGAAAACTGGTCTTGGGAACAAGAGAGCTGGCTGAGGCTCTGCCCCACCACTTAGCTGTATAATTTTGGGTTTCTATGAGCTTCAGTTTTCTGACCCATCAAATGCTAAGAAATAATAGAAATTCCTATTTCAAAGATTACATTGAGAATGAAAATTATAAATTGCTACAAAAATGTCAGGAACTACCCCTCTCCTCCATACATAAACACAATATAAAATACCTGTGGTCAGAAAGCATGCTCTATGTTTTTTGTGACATTATATTTCCCCAGGAGGAATTCCAAGTTGCAGCCAAATGATTTTTCCACTGTCTCCCCTGATACTCTGTCCAGCCTCCAAGCTTTTATTCCCGTGTGACTCTTGCCTGGCACATCCTGACCTCTCTCCCTTCTCTCTTCTATTCTTCTCTGCTGACCATAGTTTGCCTTATAAGCAAGGCCTGCCCTGACCAGCCCAGCATGGGAGCCCACTGCCTCCCACAGCAACTGGCCTGCCTGACTGGATAGATCACTCATTTCTTCACTTGGTTTGGAAGGCTAGCTTCTGGGGTCAATCTCAGTCTTCAGCTCCCTTGGAAGCTCTTAGGGTGCAAGACATATCTGATCCAGTTTTTCCTACTACCCTGCAGGGCCTTGGAGGAGACAACAGTCACAGCTGATCCCCAGATATATCATTCTGGTACCCAGTTCAAAGAGGCAGAAATTTAAGCAGCTGGTAAGTATCAGGGTGGTATAGGAGGTGGTGGGTGTGTGAAGTTCAAACAGTGTATTCTGTGGACATGTAGTGAATGAAAGAATGAATGAGTTTGAACTCATGATGGCAGGTCCCATGTTGTCTGTGTATCACTATGACTCAGAATTCTTGGGTAATGCAAACAGATAACACACTTACTGTTAACAGAAATGTTGGTCATTCAAATCCATGCAGAAATTCTTTGAAAGAAAGACCTGGTGATCTAGTTCCAAAAAAATCAGCTACTGAAGCACATCTAATACTGATGGGGACAGCATGAATCTCTGGTGAGTGAATGAATGAAGTATGGCAGGCAGCATGCTGAGCTTGAAGTCAGGACACCTGCACCGCCTCTACTACTTTATGATCATTAACAATTTACTTTCCCTGTTGGAAGCTCCGTCTTCCCACCTGTAATAAAGAAATATGCTGAGTGAAAGAAACCAGACAAAAAAGTGTACAAATAGAACAATTCTGTTTATACAAAATTCTAGGATATGCCAACTGATCTGCAGAAAGCAGATCCGTGGTTGCCTGGAGAGGGAGGAGGAAGATGGCAGAGGGATGGCAAAGGGCACAAGGAAATCAATCTCTTTTAGGAGTGATGATTATGTGTATTGTCTGGATTGTGGTGATAGCCCCACAGATGTATACACATGTCAAAACTCACCAAATTGCATATCTTAAATCTAGTGTACATAATTTTTGCCTCAATAAAGCTGTAAGAAGACAAACAAACATCAGCAAGAGAAAAGGAAATAAAAGTGCATGTTCTGACAATGATTTTTAAGATGTTTTCAAGTTAAGGACCCAATGAGTTGATGAAATTGTTGTTGCTGTTGTGAATTGCCACTGAGTAGATTCCAACTCATGGCAGCCCCTTGTGTGCAGATTAGAAGTGACCTACATAGAGTTTTCTTTGCTGTAATCTTCACAGAGGCAGATCACCAGAACTGTCTTCTGAAGTGCTGCTGGGTGGGTTCAAACTACTAACCTTTAGTTTAGCAGTTGAGCCAAAACCATTTTCATAACCTAGGGATCTTGATCTGCCACTCGTCTGTCAGTCTGTCATACTGTGGTGGCTTGTGGGCTGTTGTGCCATTGGTATTTAAAGTACCAGCGGGATCACCTATGGTGGAAAGGTGTTAGCAGAGCTTCCAGGCTAAAACAGACGAGGAGGAAAGACCTGGTGTTCTACTAAAAAGTTGGCCTGTGAACACCTTATGGATACAGCAGAACACTGTCTGATATATAGTGCCAGATAAGCCCCTCAAGTTGGAAGGAATTCAAAATACAATTCTCAAAGAGCTGCCTCCTCAAAATGGAAGCATCGTTAATGATGTGGATGGATTAGAACTTTTGCGACCTTCATTTGCTTTACATTCATCCTATTGTATTTCGTTTCATTGCAATGATTACAATCCCCTCCATGCATCATCAAACAACCAACTCGATGGCACTTAACAACAACAATAGGGTCAGTATGAGACCGAATCCAATTGATGTCACCAAACAGAAACAATGACAGGGATCTTGGTGATGGAATATGGGCTGCTTTGTCGACTGCCTGGGCCATACGGAAGGAGGGATTGTTCTTCCTTTGTACTCAACACAGTGCCTGGCATCATTTCTGCTCACACTTTGAAGTCTCAACAAATAGTTTATAATGAGTGCATACATGCCAATTTCCAGGGCCAAGTATGACCCACAGAGACTTGGGTCTAACAATACTGCCCCTTGCAGAGCAGGCAGTGGGGAAACTCTCTCAGAAGTATGCATAGCACCCAGGCAGTCCCTGGCCATGGCAGGCTGACTCCCCTTAGCTTAGTGCTTGGCACTTTTGTCTGTTATGTGGTGTAGGGGGTTTGAATTGGGAAGGTAGCTCAAAGATTGGCAGTTCAAACCCACCAGCCACTCCTAGGGAA